ATTACCAGGTATTGACTTTAGAATGTGACAGAGATAATGAATATGAATTTAAAAGACAATAGACAGTGAAAACAGAATCATTGGAAGGTACTTACGTTTTATTTCTACGTTGGTTCCTTTACCGAACGTCCACCACAGTGATCAGTTCCTATAGCCTCGCCGTACAAAAATCTGACAGCAGAAGGGGAAGGGACATTTGGTTCACTTGCTGAAGCTCGTTTCCCCTATAAAAATGTTATTTTTCCATTGTGCAAAACTGAGAATTCAGTGCTAGGTCGAGTGACCTTGCTTTCATTGTCTACAAACAGTTAAGAAGTTAGATAGAAGTTAGGATTTGATCTTCTCTTCTCCCCTGCTCCCGCATCTACATTGACACATATTGTAGCCCAAGTCACGAGCTCGATTACCTCGAAAGCATGAAATACTGAAACTATTAGACATAGGTCTGAGTGTAAAGTTTGGATCCAGATTCAAACTTTTCCAAATTTCAAGATGTTCAGAGTTAGGACTTTGGTTCATGTCCAACTCCTGATAATGTAGATATAGCACTGAGCACATCATCCAGATTTTGCGCAAGCTGCCGAGCTTATTTCACATACAGCAAACCATAAATTAGCAAACTATTTGCCCAGACAAAAGGGCAGCGAACTTGATTCTGTTCTCCCTTATTTCGGTGTAAATTATTTAGGAGTTCCTTCACTGAGCTCAATGGAGTTATTCCAGCGTAAGCATGGAATTTGTTGGGTATTTTCTGTGCCATGCCAAGGAAGGATGGAAGGCCCAGAAATTCTTGCATAGAAAGGGACATATGCAGTGTGTTGGAGCAAAGCTTTACAGCTGGGAACTTCCTAAGGGATGACGGAACGTTGCCATGGGGCATAGAATGCTGAGCTAGCATGTTTTAAGCTGAATAATATTGAGTGTGAACTCAGCTGGTGCTCAGATGATACCAAGTTAGGTTGCGTTTACATACAGCTTAAGATGTTGAGATGAGATTGTGTTTAGGAGGACCTGGCTGCTTGCCAGTTATCAGTTCCTTCCTCTCATTCACAGTACCAGTAGTCACATCATTATCACTGGTGCCATCTGTGGCAATTTCTGTGCAGCCTGAGTTTGCACCTGCTTCCATGCTATGGAAACATCCACCGGCCGGGTCTGTTCTGCAGTCTGAATTCGACACCTAGGGTAATGGGGTTATTTGGTGAGAATAACTCTTATTTCTTAGAAGAGTCTGATGAGATGTAGGGTTCTGTAGAAGCCCTTCTAATTTCTAAAGCCAAATAGACAAAGGCTGCCAAATTCCTACCCAAAAGATGCCAAATTACTCCCTGTTTATAACCAGGGCACCTGAGACCTTCCCAGCTAGGCTGAAAACCAACACGGACTTTCCAGGAAGGTCAGCACTGACTGTACTTCGAACACAGGACACATGGTGAAGGAACTGAGCCAAACACTGAAACTATCCCATGTGTCTCCAAAGTGGACAGCTAGCCTCTGTTACATCTCCCACCCTCATGGTGAGAAACTGCAGATCAGGGTGGCCTTTGATAAAACTGTCAAGTCTCAGCTTGCTCTGCCCCAATCTGTGTGTCTAGATTCTGGGATGCAGTAGGTTGTAGAATATATTAACCTCAATGCTTCACGTTTGCATCAGAAACTACCAGACCCCCTTGGCAAGACCGAGAGCTTGGGAAGAAAAGTGTTTGGTTTTCAGAGTCTCCTGAAAGCTGGGGAATTTACGAAGCTGTTCACAGACGTCATAGACGTGGGCTGGTGCCAGGTTTATGATGTGTTTCTATCACGAAAGAGAGAACCAGGGTCAGCAAGGTATCATTGCCCTGCAGGTGGCAGGTGTTACCAGTTAGATGTCCCCATGTTCACTCGGCTTGAACTAGTGTTAAAAGTAACAGTGTGGCTGCAGTGGTGGTGGCTCAAGCTAGCTGCCTGAGTATGCACCTAGAGTCTTGGGTGGTCTTGGGGGAGCTAGCCTGAGTCACTGCCTATGCTGCAGTGGCCACACCGCTGGTTTTAGCTTGCTAACACCAGCAGAGCTACTGCATGTATGTCTGTTTGAGCTGGGAATTAAACCCCAGATGCTGCACAGACGTAGGCTAAGAAAGACTCTGGTCTGTAACACAATGTGGCCACAGTTCAGAAAAGCCCTTATGTGTCTGAATAACTTATTGGCATCACTGCCTATCCACATACTTAAATTAAGCATGTGCTTAAGTAGCTAGCTGAGTCTGGACCCGAGTGTGTAAGCATAGAGAACTGGGAAGAAAGAAGCAGAGACCAGATGTTGCTGAAAGTTGCCATGTACCTGGTTTAGGTAACTGGAGAGATATGCTGTATGGATTGGACAATAGACACAGAGCTGAAATGGGCAGTGGCCCTGTATGTACTCAGGAAGACATTTGTTACCCATGTCATTGGGGGAGGTGATGGAAACAGGAACCAGGCTAGCAAAGAAACGGACTCCAAACTTGAAAATGTTTCAGAAATTAAGTTGGAAAATGCAAATGAGGAACTGGAGGAGGGAGGGAGGAGAGTTCTTCTCGACTGCCTCGTGTGACAGAAGAGCAACTGCATTTAGGGGGGATTTTCAGAAGAGACTAAGAGGTTTAATTGCGCAAATCCCATTGAATTGGGGTCTCTAACTCCTTTAAGCTCTTTTGAAACCTCCTGCCTTAAAAGCTGTGAAGAGAGGGCAAGATGAGGAGGGAGACTTTTGATCAATGTAAAAAAGACAGTTAAAACTGGCAAGCTGAGGGAGTCTGGCTGGGGCTGACCACAGGGAAATGTCTCCCTCAGGCCAGAGAATGTGAAGGATTTGGGCTGATCCAAAACCTATTTAAGTCAATGGAAGTTGTCCTATTTACTCCAGTGGTCTTTGGATCAAGCCCTTGCTTTTGGCGCACGTTTCATTTTAAGCTCTCTTGGAGGAGTCTAAAGTGATAGGAGTCAGACCCTAAGATAATGTTTTCTGAATATTTCCTTCTTGGGTGTCTTTTCAGTTCTCTCTTTTCATTGCCACTCTGCTTCTTTCTTTTCACCTCCATTTTCTTTGCCTCCATCTTTATCAGTCTATATTTTGTCATTATTATTTTTGTAACTAGTCAAACTGTTCCCTCTTCCCTTGCCACCTTCTTCTCAGCTCTTCCTGTGTTCTCCACCCACATTTCCAGTCTCTTGCTTCTTTTACTAATCCTGCCTTCTGTTTTCTCACTTTTTGGCCATGTCTGCACTAGCAAATAGAGAGTGACATTGCCCTGTTACTTACACCAGCTCAAGTGGAAGTATAATCAGCACTCAGACATTGTCAGCGCTTTGTCCTAGAGCCCTCCTCTGAAATGCCTGAGCTTGGCTGCCACTAGTGTTTGCACCATTGCTAATCCCAGAGGCTACATCTAGACTACATCCCTTTTTTATAAAAGGGATGTAAATTAGACGCATCGCAATTGCTAATGAAGAGGGGATTTAAATCTCCCCCGCTTCATTAGCATAAAAATGGCTTCCGCTTTTTTTCTGCGCGGAGCTTTGTCAGAAAAAAGTGCCAGTCTAGACGCTGATCTTGCAGAAAATAAAGCCTTTTCCGAAAGATCCCTTATCCCTTATTTCTTAGACTCTCTGGTTACGTCTAGACTACATCCCTTTTTCGTAAAAGGGATGTAAATTAGACGTATCGCAATTGCTAATGAAGTGGGGATTTAAATCTTCCCCGCTTCATTAGCATAAAAATGGCTGCCGCTTTTTTGAAATAAGGGATCTTTCGGAAAAGGCTTTATTTTCTGCAAGATCAGTGTCTAGACTGGCGCTTTTTTCCGACAAAGCTCTGTGCGGAAAAAAGCGGCAGCCATTTTTATGCTAATGAAGCGGGGGAGATTTAAATCCCCGCTTCATTAGCAATTGCGATACGTCTAATTTACATCCCTTTTACGAAAAAGGGATGTAGTCTAGACGTAGCCAGAAAGTCTGTAGTGACACTGAAAAGTGGTCACTATATTTAATAGTATGGAGGCAGCCTCTGCACACTCTGCCCCGTCCCATAGACTTTCCTGCCTCCCACCCACAATCACACACACACACAGGCTCCTCATGGCTTAGAGAATACCACACAGAAACACTTTCCTGTCTCCCTTGCAAAATTGCTCATGATCTCCTGACTTGCCACAAAAGTCACATCCACTCCCAGTCTCTGATTTCTCACGTGTTTGCCTTCTCTACAACCCCCCCGCCACACACACACACACACACACATACAGAGTCAACTCCTTTGCACACAGACTATCCCCCCTACACACAAGCAGTGTCACCTCTTGAAGAGTCAGCCCCTCGCAGACAGGGTCTCCTCAGATACAGTCATTCCCTCTCACACAGGTATTCCTTCCCCAGACGCAATGAGCTGCTCATACACAGGCATTTCTAGCTTATATACAGTTAGCCCCTTGTGCCTACAGAGACAATCCTCCATAATACAGTCATCAGTGCCACCTCACCTATCTTACCCATTACCAAGATAGCTTCCCCAATTATCACCTCTAATACCATTAGCTCACAGACGTCCCACTCTCCCCACCTCTAATATCATCAATTCGCAGACACTTACCTTCCTTCCTTCCCCCTCCCCCCACATCCTCCTCCTGTTCTGAAATGTGATTTGTCCTTTTCATATGTGTTCATTTTTTTTAAATTGTATCCTTTGGTATATATGGTTGTGACTATTTTCTTCCACTATTTGATCTGAGGAAGTGGGTGTGGCCCACGAAAGCTCATCATCTAATAAACCATCTTGTTAGTCTTTAAAGAGCTACACTGTCCTGCATTTTGCTTCAGCTACCCCAGACTAACACGGCTACATTTCTATCACCTCACCTACAGTCATCCCTTCACACACACAGACATAGGGGCAGTGACCTCTTACACAGAGACAGAACCCTCTGAAACAAGCTGTCGTCCTTGTACAGTCAGCCCTTCATGCCAGGCAGCCCCTGTAGGGATAACATATTAATGTATTGAAAATGATTCCTCCAAATGGAAGTGACCTCCCCATATTTTGTTCCCCACAACTTAAAGTGTTTTAGATTTATTATTTTCTTCTTATTATTATTATTTGTTAAGATTGTTAAATGTTTAGATTGATGATTATTATTGCCCC